GGCACAGGGGTGATTTGGTGATGGGAAACCCGTGGGGATTACAATTGAGATGAAAAAAAAATGTGAAAAATGATGTAAAAATAAACTTTAAAAAAATATATATATTTCCTCTCCTAACTACTCAGAACCAGGCTATTTCTGCTTTCCCTCCTGCATGGGTCTCTAATATAGCCTTTCCTGGTTCAGCTACATCTCTAGAAAGCAAAAGACCACTCTTTTGGATTGGCCCCAGTAACAAGGAGTGTGACAAGAGGGAGTTGAGGGGTTATTACCCAGATTAACGTTAAGCGGGGAACGTGCTTCAAGCACTGAAAACAGTATTCGACACTGCCTTCTTACCTCTTGAACAAAGTGGCCTCAGAATCGTTGTGATTGTTCACTTGCTATTTTGCTTGCCCTTCCTTTGTAAAAGCTTCTTATTCACATCTCAGTTCAAAGATAACTACCTTGGAGAAACCTCATCTAATGTTGCCTCAAACTACCTCATATTTCCTAATTATCAATTATGTGGAAGAACTGTGATTGGCCCTGTTTGGCTCTGATGCCCACCCCTAGACCAATCCCTAATCAGAGAAAGTGACAGTATGATTAGCCAAGTCTGGGTAATTTGTCTGCCTCAGTTATGGGGGCAGGCTTCTGTGTTTGCCTCACTCTGATCCTGCGTAATGAGGATCCTGTGTAATGAGTCCCCAGGATTACCCTCAAGAAAGGAAGCATATATCCAGTACACAACCTAAGAGGAGAGAAAACTTTCTCCAGAGTTCCTGAATGGATTGGGCCCTAGACTCCAGGACCTATCATTTTATCTACTGTCACACCAATAACCATAACTTCTTTGTCTTGCTGGGAAATTTGTTAATCCTTGATCAGCGGAAATAACCATTTCCTGTCCCCAAACTGCTGGTAAAATATATTCTGAAGAATGTATTTGTGCAATCAAGATAAAAATCTCTACTTCCCAGAAGTCTTTTGCTGGGAAGTCACTTTCAATTTCTTCAGTTAATTTGTCGCTATTTTCCACTACTGCTATCTCAACCTTCTTCATTCAGTTCCAACATTTGTCCAACCATAATCCACCATCCCAATCATTGCCAGCTTCGGTTATCCCCCAAAATGATGCCCAGACTACATTATTATGTTGCCTCAAAACAAAAGGTGGGAAATACTTGGTTCTACAGAATTTTATCTAGTATACCTGACACCTAAATGCCTGGCTTCACCCACATAGTTGTTATACTGAAATAGATCTCAGATATGGCCTGGCTTTTTTTTTTTTTTTTTAAGCTTTCTAAGCAGTTCTAACTTGCACTCAGCAAGGTTGAAAATGAATAACCAGGCCCTCCCTGGTGGTGCAGCCGGTTAAAGCACAGCACTAAAAAGCTTAAGCCACTTCCACATGAGTTCCGATCCCCACCCTAGAGGTGACCACATGGTGCCACATGGTGCAGCAGACCCCTCCTGCCTCACCCGCTGCTCCCCTCAGCACTGTACTTCGTCAGTCGGACTGTTCTGCTCCCCACTCTGGTGAATCCTCTCACCCTCCGCATCTCTGGCCTATACCCCAGTTCTGTATGAATAAATAAACAAATCTAAAAAAAAAAAAGAAAAGAAAATGAATAACCTAGGTCAGTGATTCTCAAAGTCAGCCAGTAGCAACATCTAAGATAATGGTTAGAAATGCAAATTCTCAGGCACAACCCACAGATTTCCGGATTCAGACACTCTGAGGTTTCATCAATTTATGTTTTGCTTTTTTTTTTTTTAGTGCTTCAGAGTTCTAAATCACATTAAAATTTGGATATCATTGACCCAGATAATGACGGCACTTACTTTGATCAAACCTTATATGTGGGTTGGACAGGAAAAGGATAAGTTGTATTCTCCTAGTTGCTGTACTGACTACCATCTGCTTTGTTACCCTTGCCAATTTAGGGACCATCTGGAGAAATGGAAATCTAAGGAAAGGAGACCAAGACATATAATCCACAAATGCAATTCTCATTTCCATTGTATATGAGGACATATATGAGCCACAATGGAGCTGATGTTTCATGGTAACCTAACAGGTTGAGTTCTATAGGCAGAATTACCAGTTTTGCTCCTCTTGAAAAAAAAAGTGGGGGACAGATAGGGTGCTTAGTCATCCTCTTGAGTTCACACAGGAACCACTACATGAAAAATAAAAGACATACTGTTCTTGTTCACCCTTGTCCCTTTCTTCTGTCTCTCAGGGATGTGGGAAGGCGGGTTCTCCACACTGGCCACACCCCTTTTTTATAAATTAAAACCACATCATCTCTTATAACTCATCATCAACTTACAATTCTGATTTAGACCTAGTGCTAATCATGATTATACTTTCATTATCTATGGACCACATTCCAAGCTATTACCAAAATTAGGAAAATACTCAATGTTCTCCAGACTTCAAAAATGCTATAAGTGTAAGTTATTATTAGGAATGATCAAAAGCACCTACCCTGCGAAATTTCAAGTCTTTAAAAGGCTGTTCTCCCACATACGTATAATCCTGGCCAGCATATGAACTAACATGAGGACACTCTTGCTGCAAACTACTCTCTTTTTTCCACCTCCCCACATCCATTTCTTAAAGCAGTGCTACCTCCCTCCTTAATTCTGCCTTCTTTCCTTCTGCCAAGGATACCAACCGCAAAGAACATCCTATACACCCAAAGTTTCACTCAGCTTAACACAAATGCACCTTTGCTATTTTTTTAAAGAATTATTCATTTATGCATACAGAACTGGGATGCACGCCAGAGGTGCAGGGGTGGTGGGAGGATTCACCAGAAACAGAGTGGGAAGAAAAACAGGCAGACTGATGAAGAACACTGCTGAGGGGAGAAGCAGGCAAGGCAGAAGTCTTCTGTGCCCTGTGGGTCACCTCCTTGGCCGGGAATCAAACTCATGCTGATGGTTGCAACTGGCTTATAGTGCTGTGCTTTTAACCCATTGCGCCACCAGGGAGCACCCCAAACCTTTGCCAAACTGTTTCCTAGGAGCATGCCTTACCCCACAACATAGACATTTCCTTTGAGAGCCAGGACTGCATTACATGTCCCTGAGAGACAGTGACCAGGCCAGGCCCACATGCAATAGAAACCAGCAGATCTGAAACACTCATATCATACTCTGTACATAAGCAAATGACCAAACCTGAGCCAGGGCCCCAATTAAGACTTCAGTCTTCCCCTCACAGCTTCATCTATGAAGATGCAAGTAAAAGAAAGAAATGAGTTCCTGTTCTAGAGTTAAC